TATATGTATATGCATATATGTATTTAGAGAAATATACACATATTCATATGTTTATTTCTGTATATGTGTGATTCCTACGATGAGGCAGAGTTATACCGTGATGCGTGATATCTCTTGAAGACGATTTCTATTTCTGTCCATATGCCGGCTTCTGACCCATGCCAGGCCTGCAACCCGCTTTTCAGAATCGCCCATCTCCCTGGCCGGAATGGGGACGTCACCAGGCCGGGTTCAGGCAACTCACTTGGCTTATCTGGCTTGTGGGGCTCAGGGTTCAAAAGGTTGGATCCGCGTTGCATGGCATGGCATTTTCCAGCCTTCGTTTCGAGTCCGATTCGTTTGCATAAGTGGTTTCGTTCATAATGTTCGTGCTTTAGGATCTGTTGCTTTCCATTCATTTCCCAAGCTTTCAGGCTTCGGCCAGTACTAAAGCCATGCGTTGGACTGTCATGCAAAGACAGGCTCTTGACAGTTCCTACCCACTGCCGCGTATGTAATCGAGTACTACTGCCTCTTCGCCTGCCTGACTATGTACGTACGTGAGGACAAAAGTCTCGACTGAGCTGTTCGCGTTGTTGGATCGGCAGGTTCATGCGGGACTTGCACTTCACATGTTTTACACACGCATTCGTGTGAAGCCTCATGAGCATCTCGTGGATCTCTTACCAAACCTGGGAGGCTGGCAAGCCTGAGATTGAGCCGCAGAAGTTCCCTGCTAGCGTGGTGCTCTCGCGCACACTTGTGCGCCAGAATCCCAATGCTGGAACCGTATGTGAACTGCACAGATGATCATGATGATAGTTGTTCAAGAGTATTGATTCAGATGCGTTGGAAAATCAAATTCGGATAAATGGCTGGCAGAACTGTTTTGATGATCATGATGATGGCTCTTCCTGTATACTGTTTCAGAAGTTTTGGTGATTGGAGTTTGCATAAATTTCTGGAAAAAATTGGTGTAACGTAGACGATTGGGTTCAGAGATGTTCAGGTGCAGTTAAAAAAGGCTCCACTCACTGCTCAACCACTTGGGTTGCCGGGGTCAGAGAAACTGTCAGGGGTGCCTGCAGAATTTCCGAAGCCGAAACCACGTTCCCCCAGAGTGCCTCCAAGCAGAAATGTGCACGCAGCCTGAAAGTCACCCGCCACTTCGCTCATCACGAAAAGATCTCGATCCTTCTGCAGCGGAAGAGCCTTCTCCGTCGACCCCAAGAAACCCCCTCGTGCACAGACCCACATATGCTTTCCTCATGGAGCATGCGCATGTTTCGCATCATCACCGAGCTCGCTCACATGTCCTGAAGTTGATTGTGCCTCCTGTTCTGCCTGTGTCATCGACCGTGTGTCGTGGTTCGTCGTAATTTATACAGAAAGCCACAAAAACAGCGCGCAATAGATGCGGCTACTCTTACTGTCTTACTGTCACTGTCGGATCCCGGAAGCACTGGCGTCTTCAAGAGCTGGTGAACAGGCCGGGATCCTCCCAAGGGCAAAGGCGAGGACGGCCGAGAGCCGCTGGACGACGATGCCCAGTGGTCAGACGGTACGCGGTGGGGAGTCTTTGGATTTTGGTGTTCGGGGCACTGGCGCTGATCCTGGACAGGAAAGTCACCGTGGACCCGAGATAATCTTCCGTCATGCCCTTAAACAATCATAGCTGGGACCCTGAACCCAATCGGAGGCGACGTGAGTGAGGAGGAGGACGACGAAGGCCAGGGAGCATCAAACCTTATGGGTTCGAGGCAGAGGCGTGGTCAGCAAGAGAGGTAGGCAGGTCGGCAGCACATAGCGACCAAAGCGTATTGCCGTCCTCACTCCAAGCTTCCCTTGCCATATCACTGGTGACAGATCCAAAATGATCCAAATCCACATCGTTTGCGCTGTGCTTCATAAAGACACATGCGTAAATGATTAGGCGTCTCGGCCCGTCTCTATGAAAGTTATGATGGACAAGGGACTTTGCAGAGCAATCCACGCCAAATTGGCTGGTACATGGGGTGGGGTCTAGAAGTCTAGCAGAGTCAGTCTAGCATGCATGTGCGTATGTATGCTTGTATGCATGCATGTACGTATGTATGGATATATGCATGTATGTATGTATGTATGTATGTATGTATGTATGCATGTATGTATGTACATACATGCATGCACACATACATACAAACATTCATACATGCGTGCATGCATTTATTCATCCATCCATCCATCCCTCCATCCATCCATCCAGCCATCCAGCCATCCAGCCATCCTTCCATTCTATCCATCCATCCATCCATCCATCAGTCCATCCATGCATTCATTCATTCATTCATTCATTCATTCAGTCAGTCAGTCAGTCAGTCAGTCAGTCATTCACCGTTCATTCCACAAGACTTCATGCAATCACAGCCCCGTTCATGCATCATGCCTTTGTTGATGCATATCTCCTCCGTCCATCCATCCTGGTGAATGTTCACATACATTCCTCAATACAATCGTCTCTGTATACACACACACACACATATATATATATATGTATACATATGTATGTATATATATATATACATACATATTATCTATTTACTGCCCATACTCTGCAGCTCCTGGAGGTGAGCGCACCGTCTGGGAACGAGCGCAGCGTGAGGGCGAGCAGCTCTCCCGGCATCAGCGGACAGGTTCATAGTTTGCAGATCTGAGGACCCCCTGAATATGGTGATGCACACTTTTTGTGAGGATTTGGCTTCGAAGGGTTTCAGAAACACACTCCTCTCTCCTTCAGTGGAGTCACACGTGTGCAGCCCCTAAGCCCGGAAGTCTTCAACCCCCCAGGATGCAGCCTGGGTGAGTAGGGCAACCTCCGACACCCAAACTCCGAAGCAGACGAGGGTCTGTGATCGGGCTTACACCTGCTGGTCACTGCTGACTGCTCAACGTGAACTCCGGAAACAAATCCTGAGCCCGACAACGAATAGATGCTCACCTGCGGTGTAGATGTAGCGCTACTAAGTTTTAAGGACAAATCCCTAGTAGTGTTGCTGATGCGCCATTGAAATGAACTCGTCTGGTGGGTTCCGAGGCAATACCTGCCAACGAGGGTCTTGGAGGCTCGTGCCCCATCTGGAGTCTGCAGTAGCTTCAGGCTGCTTTTGGGATACCTGACTGAGTCTACATAGACTGGACTCCGGTTGACAGTGTCCGTTCGTCCAGACACAAATATGATCCTATCCCTCGAAGCTACATCCCAAACGACAGCGGCCGGCTTTTTCAGCATCAGGAGGCTTCAACGAATGTCCTGCAGCCGAAGCATAATGCTGAATGCCACGGTACAGAAGTCAGCCCATTGTTGGAACATGCCTTACAACATTTAGTCCAATCCATATGTTCTTTCGTGAAATTTCGACCCAAACCAGTGGCTGAGGGCCTGCTTCCCGAAGCCTTGCTCAAGAGCTATCGCTTCTACCAGTCCGGCTGCTCAGTTCGGGCTTGAGGGTCTTCGGACCCAAAGAGCCCCAGTACGGTTCGGGGGTGGCTACGACAACGAACGTGACAAAGGTTGGTGAAGGAGGTTGTGGTTCATACTGGGTGAAGATTCTCAAATACTTCTGATGGTCGACTTTCTCTGCAGTTGTGGTCACGATTATGGCAATGTGATGGTGATTGTCGTGATGTGTGATGACGACCACAAGCGACGAAGCTGCCAAAGCTTGAAATCTGAATACGGGTGATGCCAGACCGCGAGTGATACTTGTGTTTGTGCAGCTCAGGACCAATTCCTGGCCACACCGGGTGATTCACGGATACAAGGCTTGCCTCCGTCGTGTGTCAACGGAGGTCTTGGCCGCTCATGGGCTGGAAGTATGTCCTGATGTCCTGATCGGCTGCTCGTGGGCATTCGTTGGGCCTGAGCTACAGCTTTCACCGTCTAGGTCGCAGTGTTCTGGTCAATGTAGAACCACGTAGAACCTTTGGGCGCATTTGGATGGAAAGGGCTTCGGTGGTACTGGTGGAAATAATCGCAGCAGCAGCAGGAGCAGGAACAGGATCGGGAGCGGGAGCAGGAGCAGGCGCGGGAGCAGGAGTAGGAGCAGGAGCAGCAGTAGTACGAGTAGCAGCAGCAGCAGCAGTAGTAGTAGTAGTAGTAGTAGTAGTCGTCGACGTGGTGGTGAGTCGTCGACGTGGTGGTGGCAGTGGTAATGCAAAGTGTAGAGGTCTGGCAGTGCTAGTGTGGTATTGGGAGTGGCAGTGGTGGTAGTAGATAGGAGCAGGAGCAGCAGCAGCAGCAGCAGCAGCAGCAGCTGCAGCAGCAGCTGCAGCGGCAGCAGGAGTAGCAGTAGTAGCAGTAGTAGCAGTAGTAGCAGTAGTAGTAGTAGTAGTAGTAGTAGTAGTAAGAATTGCACTGAGAGGAACCGTAACGGCCACTGGCGCAGCAGCTTGGGCTTCTGGCTTCCTGTCGTGGCTCAAGCGGCCTCCAGCAGCTCCCAAGTCCGTGCCCTTCGCCATGTGGCCGCTTCTGCTCCTCCTGGCGGCCCTGGGGCAAGCCAGCCAAGAAACGCTTCACGTCGTCGACTTATCCCAGGCTGGTGAGGAGTTCAGGAATGATCAAAACCGTCTGCATCTCACCAGCCGTGCTACTAGTTGTAACACATCGTAACGAGCAGAGAGTGCCGGAAATACTGTCAGCGACGTCATCACAATGGTCGCAAGGTAGTCAAGAGTCGCAATAGTTGTAACGCATCATTACGAACAAAAGCATGCAAGGAAGCTGGTATCGAAAAATCAGTATTAGGTTGCGATGGTCTCAGCAGTCCTCAAAATGGTGCTGAACCAGTAACGGAGTGATATCCTAGGGTTACTACATGCAGTATGCGTCGTACGCAAGCAACCGTGATGGTCGTGAATATACTAGCAGTAGCAAGGAGACAGTGAGAGAGGGAGAGAGAGAGAGAGAGTGCAGTTGTCCCCGTCGTTGCCTGACTACCTCCAACGCCCCACAAACATTGGGGGGCCCTAAGGGCCGGGGGGACTCGCACTCCCCTCAAACCCGAAGGAAGAAGAGAGACAGAAAGGGAAGACTTACTCTAAGAACTTACTTGCAATGAACTTCTGTTGGGGGGACCCAGCGGCCTTTCTCTGTTGTCATTAACGCTTGAAGTGAGTTTCTGAGGAGAACTGCAGTGAGCCTTATCCTGTTTGAAGTTTGGTTTACATCTTCTCAAAAGAACTGAAAGCAAGTAGTTCCAGTGAGGGCATGAACACCAGGCACAACATGACCACTTGGGGGGGACAAACATACTTCTTAAAATACTGTCGTCGGTTCACTTATCTGCATGAATAATTCTTTGACTCCTACTTGTAGTCGCTGTTGGTGGTGCATGTTCGGTTGCAGAACCCCTTCCTAGTAGGTGGCCGGAGCTGCAAGCAGTTGGCCATGTCGTGAGTTGTTCGTGAGTGTGTGTACCTGCAGCCTCTCGCATGCCGGTGTCGGAGTTGCATGAAGTGGGGGGTCCACCAAATCTGTGAACTGTGGTGTGTTGTCAAAACCCTTTGCTTTAGGCCGTGCTGCTTAGGGGGAAAGTCGATCCTAGCTGTGCCCGACTTTGCAGCCGAGCCATTGGGGCGAAGCTCCCCATTGGAAACCTCAAAACCCTGCAAAGACCCGCAGGTCCGCGTGCGCATGCGTGGGTTCGAACGTCCGGTCCTGGTAGACAGAGAGAGAGGGAGGGAGAGAGAGAGAGAGAGAGATAGGGTACTGCTAATTCGCCTCAGCCAAACTCTTCGTTGATGCACGTGATGCACGACAGTTTCCGATGTTTATGGGGCTAAATTCGACCGACAGTAACTTTTGCTCGCACCCCGAAGCCAATTACCATAGACAAAATGGGACCCCTGGACGGGATACTTCGTTTACTTGTAATACTTAGAAAGGTCCCAGCGAATTAGCGCGCTTTGTCACTCGAGGTAAGCTGATGTGTACGCAAGTGTAGACGTACTCTCTCGTTCAATGGGCGTAACCCGACTCTTTTCTGATTGAAGTCTTCGTCTGAAACTATGACCCAGAGGGGGGCTCACTGTCGTCTAGCATCTGATTCTGTTGCGAGTTTGTTTCTGCAAACAGGGTCATACAAATGTAAATTCTCATACGCAGCCGGGAGTCGTCACCTTACATACTTCCTGTCCTGACATATGTCACCCGGCGAAAGTTCTCACGTGCCCACAAAGCCCCATATCATCTGGGGGGCCCGGAGCCCATGCGGCCGGGGGGCCTTAACCGTTCCCCAAGCCCTATGGAAGAGCGAGGGAGAGGTAGAGAGAGAGAGAGAGAGAGAGCGAGAGCGGCAGCATTATGAAGCACAAATGTTGCAGTAACTGTTAATGGTATGCCCTGAGATTAAGACTTGGAGTTGACAGGTGGTGTGCCCCAAGCCGCAGAGCAGCAATCCAAATGCGCCTGTTCTTCCTGAACCCTGGACTGCTAGGGCGAGTAAAGCACTTACGCCATTGGGTGTCCAGTCTTTTTTTCAGAGCAGTCGATCTTGGAAAGCTCCAGGCTCTAGGATGGTTCCAAATTCAAGATGATTGTGGTTAGGGTCATGTACAGGTTGACGGTTGATGGCTGATCCGTTTCCAGTTTGCCCTGCAGACAGCGTGACATCAACGAAGCCTCGAGAGATGTGTCGTCTGTGGAGGGCACATTTGTCGGGTTTGCCCAGGCAGATGCAGACGCATCTCATGGTGGAGCACGTTCGTGCTTTCAAGTTCATTCTGTGTTTTTCTGGGCAGCCGATTTCCTTAGATTTCTGGGGAGCCGATGCAAGGCTCTTCTTCTTCAAGAAGTGGTGTGTAAGATGTCAGCTGACTGAGTTTGCCGGATGATGCACAGCCGAGGACTACAACTTGGGCATTGAGCAGACGACCTCAATGGACATGGATTCCCCGTACATTGTCAGCTTCATGCGCGCGAGCAAGCAGGTCAGAGCAATCTTGCTTTTCATCTATTCTCCGGTGGCTGCGAAATCTGAGCATCTTTATTGTGTTGCGCATCTTGCTCGGTGCACTCGCTGACCCAGGATCTTCCTGCTCAATCCTGCTCATTTATCAACGTGCTTGTGCTGCTGCTGCTGCTGCCACCATGGCTGTTGCTGCTGCTGCTGCTGCTGGCCGTAAGATGTCGTCACCAACCTTCATGGCGAAGTAAGTTAACAGGAGACAGTCTCCAAAGGCTTACTTATGCCGAAACCCGAAAGCCGTGTTTCTTTATGACATGCATCCATTTTTCCGGTTGCGTTCCGTATCAATCCACAGTCTAAGGGGCTTTGTATTTCGGAATGCGCGTGAACTTATCATTTGTTGGATGCCTGCCAGGCAATGTCGATACGTTTCAAAATTTTAGATTACAATGGCGAGACGGTCGTGTCCGACACCACTGTGCAGCTAGAAGACTTGCGTACCTCGGTGCCAAGCTCATGCACATGTACATCGGCGACGATTCCTCAAGAGGTGGAGGCCAAGTATGGTCAAAGCTATGGGACTTCGTGTCAGGCGTGGGATAACGCCAAATGTGACCAGTTGTGGGGCTGCTTGACTTGACTTCAAGTCAGAGTGTTGTGATGCTATAGCTTGTTCAAGCCTCAGTTGTCCTGCGCGCGATGACCAGTGATGTGCATCATTGAGGTGACTTGTCAGTGGGCTCCTGGTGCTGTCGACCTTGGTGTTATGCATCGCAGGACTGTCCAGATGCATACCGAAGTGAGGCGATCCCAGGTCAGTACTTCAGTTATGCGGCCTGCGACACTGTGAGCCCAGCCTCACCTTGCACGTGGACATCTGTGGCCGAGCAAAATGATCCGTGCCAGTGCAAGAACTCCGCGAGTGTGCTCCTTGGAAGCTATCGGTTCGACGTAGGTGTGAACCTTCGTGGTTCAGGATGACCTTGCCATGATAAGAGTACCGAGGTTCAGCACTGCAATGAATGCCACATTTACGAGCAACTACGGAGCCACCTGTGGCACGTGGGACATGCAAAACTGTGACATCAACTACCGGCCGGACCAGGTAGACACCTGGTGCTGCAAAAGCTGGTGCTATGTGGCTACTCGGGCTTTTTTTTCAGGGGCATCCAGTTTTTCTCAGATTTCTCTTGAACCTACATCAACACGGTCAATAGGATAGAGGCGGGGAGAGCAACCCAGGACAAGGAATGTTCCACCGCAAAGCAGTCCCTGAATCCTGGCATGGAGGGTCTCTTATTCTGGTCCGACAACGTTTGCCCAGACGATCCTCTCCTGGTTTCACAGTGCCCCTACAAGCCGAAACCGAACATCACGGCAGGCAGCACTGCCTGCGCGTGCTTGGACGTGTCGATGCCCACCTATGACCTTGAGAAGGCTCCGCAGCCACGATCCGTGCACACTAGCTTTTCTGTTCTTCTCTATCTTGGTCTTTGTTGTAGTGGCGGCATTGATGTTGCCATGCCAGCTGCTTGTCTATCTTTCGAAGGCTGGCCTGAACTCGACCTACGCAGACTACGGTCGGCAGTGTGCTCCTCACGATGCGACCATCTGCGAGATTACGTACCCATATGCCACGCATGACATGTGGTGCTGCATGTCGTGGTGTTGGGTTGACTCGAGCTGTCCACATGCACGAGCATCAACACAGTGGCCCGGGAAATTCTTCAGCACCGCGGGCTGCGAGATGGACGCGGACGTGGTCTCAAGCTGCAAATACTCACGCGTTTGCGAGTGCCTCGGAACTACTAGAATCCCTCCACGCAGGGTAGACTCATATCCTGAAGCGAAGCTTTCAAGTTCCTTTGCCGTCGTCTCTGCTCGACAGCTGCCATTCTACACGTTCATTCCCTGCCGTGAGATATTCAGAACTTCCTCACCACCGAAGCCTAAAGCACCTCTCAGCACAGCTTCACAGCATGCATCAGGAGACACTGTCATGATGGAATCTTCCACTGCCTAACAATGCCCGGGCCAGCCCGAATCACTGAGGTGCCGTGGCTCATTGCCAACCGGGACGCTGCCGGCGGGATTCTCCAGCTCCTACGGCTCCTCATGCACCAAGGGCGCAGCTTCATTTCTTCCCGTACGTATGGTTTCATTTGAAGGATCGTTTCTTGGTCCTGTACTGCTGACGATTGACGTTTGCGGTTGTGGACTAGAATGCCACCTTGCTCCCCCTGATGGCATAACTGCAGATGATGTTGTATGGCTCCTTGAGAGTTTGCGCATCCCCAACCTCGCGCAGATACACTAGTTAGACTGTCACGAGTTCGTCGCAGCCTAGACCATGCAATGAAAGGTCCATCCCAGGCTTGCAGAATCCAATGCCTCGAACATGCCCAAAGCATCACAAAAGGGTCTCTCTGCCTCCATCGACATGGTTGTCTCAGGCAGTGCGTGGGATGCCACTGGCTGCAAGGCGACGTGGAGCCCCTTCGCCGAACTGGCAGTCGAGCCAGGGAGCATCAAGTCTTGCGGTTTGGGCTGGCTTTCTAGCGCCCTAGACCCGGAGGCGCTGATTCGGACTCGCAGTGGCATACTCAATCGGATCACGAGTGGTGCTGTGATGCATGGTGCTATGTCGACAATGCTCTCCGGCAGCCAGAAGACTCCATGCTGATTCTGGGATTCGCGGTTTCCGGAGGTTCAGTGCATTGACGCTAGCTGCTCCTGCTGCTGTCCCGGCTGCTGAACTCGTAACATCGTAGTGGGTTTAGACATACCATGGACATGCTCCAAGGCTTGCCCTATAGCCAAGCTGTCCTGGCTTGGCACTGGATACTATTTCAGCTACGAGACATGCCGCCCGAGCCTGTTTGTTCGAGACTGCCTGCGCGCTGTAGTCTAGGTAGGCTGTGTCGTGTCAGTTTCCGCGGTTGTTGTGAAGGAAGTTGCTTGGTGGAGCTGATTTCAGTCGCGATGCATGCTGTGGCGGCCAGTGCTCTGTGCACAAGACATCCTCAGGTGATGACCCGTCCACAAACTATGACGAGCCATCCGACTCGTGCATTTCCACCCGGAGGCGTGCTCTCAGAAGGCTTGGTCAGATGATTGCAGAATATCTCGATGAGGCCATTGGGGATGGGAGCCTGGGGTGGTGGACTTTTGAAAGGATTGATACCATGAGCCCTCGCTCCGCTTTGTTTTTTGAGAGCCGGACCAAGGAGGACCCAGATGAGTCCGAAGAGGAGCGGCGACTCTCAGCCAGAAGACGCGTCGGTGCAACTGCCCGCCGGCGACGGACTGCCACCTCGACTGCCCGGCGGCGACGCTCTCCACCTGCGCCTCCCACTACTGCGAGAAGGCGAACTCCTTCGAAACCTTCTGCGTCCAGCCGTCGTCGCGCAGCTACCCCGACAACCCCACGGCGACGAGCAGTTCGCCGCAGAACGCCTCCTCCGACACCACCAGCCATGTCAACTGGCCGCCGTCGCAGCACTGGCATCGGCGGGACACACACGATGACTCCCCGCCGCAGACGTGCACCGACTACCACTCTCAGTCCACGGCGTCGTGCCACAACCACCACTCCGTCCCCGTCGCCCACTGTCAGTCCACGGCGTCGTGCCACAACCACCACTCCGTCCCCGTCCCCGTCGCCGTCCCCATCGCCGTCGCCGTCGCCTTCGACGACAAGGCGACGGCGCAGTCGAAGGCGAAGTACGCCGTACGGCTACAACAGCAAGAACGACATGATGAACAACCATGGTGGGACCATGCCTCATCAAACCAACTACGGTTACTCTGGCTCGGATGCTGTCTCAGCCAATTCGAACACTAATGTCGCCATTTATGCGGCAGGAGCAGCGGCTGCTGCAGCTGTGGTTGGCGCTGGGGCTGCATATGTCTATAACAGCCAGTACGGAGATGCATATAGCGACCACCGCCGCCGCCGAGCAACTTCGTTTGAAACGCCAGACCTTTGCACCGTCACCGCCGCTGGAAGTCGAAACGGCGACTTCATGGATTGCCAGAAGTGCTACGACCACTACGGCCGCGACCTTAAGCACCTGGCATGCCTTCCTGTGACCCCTGTGAGTAATTGTTCAACAGTTCGGCAGCCGACGACTGACTCGGAGGAGCAACTCAAGCTTCCACTCCAACTTCCTGAAGCCTGACCGTCCGACAGCCCATTTCCGCTTAGGCCCATTAGGCTTAAGATCAACACTGCTGCACCTCTACATTAAAATAGAAGTGGTCATTGTAGATACTGATAGTATTCCCATGATGATGATGGTGATGGTGATGATGATGGTGCCATCAATACTGATGGTGTTGGTGACCATGATCATGACCATGGTGACCATGGTCCTGATCATGATCAAGACCACTACTGCATTTTTGTTCCGGTACTTAGCGGTGTGCTGGCATGTCGAGAGTCGTGGCATGAGGCATTTCCAGCTGTCCCTCTGCAAGTTCCTGTGTCTGGGCTTGAGTGCAAATCAGCTTGGCAGCGGTTTTTGTCATTCGTAGTGCTCGAGTTTGCCGTCGTACTCGTGGTTGCCGCAGTCGTAGAATGCAGTTGCGGCCGAAAGAAGAAGTAGCCGCGGTGGCAGTAGTCGTAGCTGTAGTCGTCGCCGCCGCCGTCGTCGTCGTCGTCGTAGTAGTAGTAGTAGTAGGAGTGAGAGACGGAGTATGGGAGGGGTCGGAGTCGGAGTGAGTTAGCAGCAGTTATTGGGGGACATTCAGCATGGCGAAGTGCTGGCTTATTGAAGTATTCTGACCACGGTGGGGTTAGATCCTTCGTGTACCCCTACAGCCTGACCCCAAAGAAGCCAAGATTTATTCCGAACCTGTTGAGCCAGGCAACACTCCCACGGGGTGCAGCTACAAGACGCCTCAAAGCTTGAGCCGGGATGACCTCGCAGCCACAGGCCTTCTTCTCATGCTCAGGGGTGGGGTTCGACACTGTTATGCTCGCTTTGCTGTGTTGGTGCTCTTCTCTTTGCTTTTCCGAATGGGCTCCATGCAATGAACCAATCATCAGACGGAATTCGACTGCTGGACTGCGAAGTGCCTTTGACAGCATAAGATTCGAAGGGGCTTTCAATTGCATACGGACCGGCGTATGAGCATGCGCCGCCAGTCACGGGGTCTTCATATATTCTACAGACGTCATGAACGCAAAGATGGATGTGGTGGTGGTGAAGATAGTGAACAGCCACCATGGTTAGATGTTTTTACGGCATCGCGACTTTTCACGCAGAGCCTGCATGCTCATGTGCTTGTACTACATGTTGCTTGGCCATCTTGATATGCACTTCTCCATGTAGTCGCCCGGTACTAAGCCCATCGGCGACTTGATATTCAGTCTTGTTCGCGAGTATGCGTGGAGCTTGATGCATTCTGTGCTACTGTCCATTGCTTCAGCTTGTTGGATAAAAAGCCCAGTTCGTTATGAAATGACCACTTTCAGCTACTTAGTTCTAATCTGCGCTCATGTGTGGTGTTAGAAGTGCTTTGTACAATAGACAGCGCCACTCCACAACTTCTTCGCAGATATGCGGGTGCTATTGTCAGATGCGCTTGGCTATTATTAGGAAGGTTACACTTGACTTTGGCATGCCCAACAATGGCGACAAGCCAGCATATCGTGCTGGGCAGTGCTTGGTCCTTTTCTCCGCATGTAGCTTTGCATCACGTGTCTGTCTATGTCGCTATTCACCACTATTCCTCCATCCTACGTGGCTACAGGCAAATGACTCGTATCATGTACTCATGTACCAGCCGGCTGCTACTCTGTGCGCTTATCGGTCTCTGGCCCTGTTGCTTTCCAGGGCCAAATATGTTCATTCTGTCCTACATGGCTGTAAGACTTTGCAGTGGCGTATTGAACCACATATCTATGTACACTCTGTGTATTCGTTGCTTTTTGCATTTTTTGCTGAAGACTCTGAGATATTGCCGCTTCGAGCGGCTGTAATGCGATTATGCTGTATCAAACTGCTGCATTGTGTACACGGCTGGTATAATATAGAAGCCTAAATAATTACCTATACCATTTTGGGGTTCCTTATTATATTCATATTCCCATATACCTCAAAACCGCAGTCTAATTATCAAGGCCCCTACATTATATGTGTCTATGTATCGTAGGGCCGTATTGCCAGTTGCATCTCGTAGCAGAGTAAACTACACTCTGCTCTACACGCGTCTGCACGTTAGTCGATAGTGTTTTTGTGTCCGTATACCAACATAGTACCTTCACATGCCATCATGCTCCTAGTCGCCATAAGTTGTGTGACTTTGTATCTTGTACAGCTGCAGCAGCCACTATCACTTTATATTACGCCGTGCTGTGTGGTGTAGTTGTAGAAGTCGGTACTAACGCGCTAATGGTGCTTGCTGCTGCTGCTCTTGTTGTTGTTGTTGCTGTTGTTGTTGTTGTTGTTGGTATTCGTGTTGTGGTTTTGTCGTCGTCGTTTTCGTCGCCGTCCTTCTCGTCCTAATCCTCGTCCGTCGTGTCTTCGAGGTTGTCGTCGTCGTGTTGCTATTGGTGTCGTATATCAAGTTTTGTTCCACAAACACACACAAATCTACATTTAGGCATATATGAAATTATATTTGTTCGCCGCTTGCATCTCTTTTCACTACAGTATTACCTGGCAGTTTGGAATTCCTGTGTATCGTGCCAACCCCAGATAGGGCTTATGACATGAATTGAAGGCTGAGGCAGCTCGCCTGCGTGCAACTCCCACCAAAAAAGCTCAGAGTCCCATGCCTTATCGCGGCTGACAGGTTCTGTGGCGTGCGTTGCAGGTCTCAGTTCCACATTTTCATGCCCGACCGAGCCGAAGATTTCAACCCTATGCAGACCAACCCTACAATCACGCGCAGGTTTCATACCAGAAGGCTATACCTTCCCGCTCCGCGTCATCTTCACCAGCGTCACTGGTGCAGGAATCGTCACTGACCCGCTGTCAGGCCCGCGTTTTGATTTTGCAGTTTGATTTTGCTCTTCCTTCTGCGGTGGCTGCATGGGTCAAAGTTGCACTAAGAAGTGGTGAGCAGAATTTCCCAAGCCTCAGTTTCACATGACTTCAAGACAGTGCCGGGCCCTGAACTTTCAACGACAAGGCCGTAATCACTGTGATGCGTTGTGAGTTATGAAGGATATCTTTGCATGCATACGTACGCACGCACATACACATATACATACGTACGTACATACGTACATGCATACATGCGTGCATGCATGCATGCATGCATATCCATACATACATATGTATGTGTATGTTCATAAGAAACTTGAGGACATTAGGACTGACCGAGAACCGTGCCGCCACGGTGAGGCGGCCTATGCCCACCTACGACTCCAGCGGAAGCCGAATATGTGGAGAGATTCAACAAAACCATGTGCCTCGCTTTGTCTCTTTTTCAGGGTAGCATCCACCCCATCGGTGCTGATAGAAGCTTCTGGAGTTGGAGCTGCTTCGGTTGTCTGTGCCTTGTTGCAGCGGCGCTGCGCGTGCGGTGACTCAAGCACTCTCAGTTGTTTGGTCAAAATGGAGGTCGGAACAATTGGTGAGAATGTCTCCTTACAGTCCCTATAAAAAGATAACACCATGTTTCAAACCTTATCTGAATAATCAAGGTCCCTACATTATACGGACATGCTTAAAGTGAGTCCAACGATGCGACCCGATTGGTCGCAGATGGGTTTGACAAATTTTGATTTAGTGGTTCCTTGACGGCGTCGCTGAGCCTTTATGTGGCCCTTGGCACCGGAAGTGCATCGGCTGTATTTCGGGCAGTGCGAACTTCTAGACTGGTGCCAACATTCGCTTGTTTACAAAAGGTGCCCGACCTATCCTGATCTTGCAGTCGTACAGTTTGCAGCGAGCAGTGGGTGAATGGATCGGTTCGTGGCATTTTGGACTCGGCTTTTCTATCCGGTACGTGTCTAATGCCTGGGTTGCTCTCTGCGTAGCAGGAAAATGGTCAGTGCTCTGCGTGGCTGAGGTCCTTCAAGCCCGAGCTGTTCTTGGTCCTGACCAAGCAAAGTGCATTACGGCAAGCCGAACCATGTGCCTTATCATAGCGTCAGCAATGCTACGCATCAGGTCTGAGTCGGTGCATCGGTCGTCTTCCTTCATCCTGTAGCGTCCCCGGGTTTTCGGCCAAGGCTCGACTCGAAAAAGGGTCGATCCGTGTCTGGTTCGGAGGCGTATACCTAGCAGCTATTTTCGAGGAAAGGGTTGATTACCATCTACTTGTGGTTTGCTGTTGCCGTTGTGGGCCGGTGGTGCAACAAACGATACCATCGCTTGGCCGACATTCTGAAAATAGTATGCGTGGAGGGCGGCAAGTGTCGCGACCGATGCACAGATCGACCGAAAGCCGAGCGACGCGCTGAAGGGAACATCGGTTGCAACGCCCGCCTAGGAGCGCCACAATGCTCACATATCAAAGGGCCGAGAATATCCACAACCAGTCCGACAGCAGACAAAGCAAAACACGCTGCCAAAATCGGGACTTTGACCGGACTTGTAAAAAAATGTCATTCCAACTGTTGGTTGCTTTACTGGTTCGCCCCGCTGTCCGGAACGGTGGTTTCTCTGGCCACGGGATGGATTGCTGGCTAGTCGCGGGTTGAAGTCGGCTTAGGCTTTTGGTGTGTATGTCAGGGCTCCTCACAGAGCCGGTAAACCGTACATCATTTCACAAGACCATGCAACTACTGTAGCTTTTGGGGCTCCGTGAATTACTTCTTCGCATTTTGGTGCAGAGCTTGTCGCCGTCACAACCGCACATAGCAGTACGAGCACTGAGTTAAGCCCGCTGATGAAATGAGGGTGTCTTCGAGCAATTCTGAAGGGCGCCTTAAGCCAAGTGTTTCTTCTCCAAGGTGAGAGAGACACGCAGACGACTTGCTCATTCTACTCCTGCTCGCCGGACAGATCAGTTTGCGAGAATGAAGTTTGCCTGTGTGAGACAGGCAGGGAAAGCGTGGGACGGAGTTCTAGAGTCGGAAGTTACAACAATCTTGTCCATGTGTGCAGGGATCGCTTTGGGGTTTGACTGGCTGTCGTTCTGAATCTTACGGCAAGGGGCAGTGGATGATGCGTCGTGCCACGTAGAAAGACTTTGCAGTTTTGACTCGGAGTTGGAACTTCGAAGCCGACGTATTTCCTGGTCCTGAACTCTTAGGGGAGCAGAGAGAGGGGTGTGGGACGTGAGGCTCACAATGCTTGAGCTTCAGGTCTGAATTGTTTGCCTTGAGGAATGCACTCTCCAACGGTTTTCGATTGCCATCTACTTCCCGAAATCGGGAAAGGCAAATTTCCTGTCATGTCGTCTTGCAGGCTACTGCTGGAATGGCTACGAGTGCTTGGCGCAGGGTGTGGCAAGTGCGGCATCTAACCAGGCCTTGAATTTCGTGATCTTCCTGCCTCTTCTGCTTCTTGGCTTTGGGAACTGGCCGGACACCTGCAGAGACGCGGGGCGGCGCCTTCACCCGTGAAGATCCTAAGCCTTTGCATGCTGGGATCACTCAGGTTGCGACGTGTGCTACATCTTTGAAGTATCGTTCAGCGTGAGGGGTGTGTCTCTGGTGAGGAGTTCCAGTAGCCCCCGGATTTACGGGAGTCCTTGCGATGTCGCGCACCAGCAGAATAGGAAAGGCGAAGTGTGTAAGCTCCATCTCATGAAGCCGTCGGATTTCATGGGCACGCAAGCGCTACATCACAAGGGGAACTCTTCCAGGAACCATGAGACAGTGTTCCTTGGGTTGGCTCGGCTAAGCACTGTTCAAGCCATGCGGCCGCCGCCCAAGCCATTTACCATACTTAAAGCTGTGTTGCTTCTGTGAAAATGGGCCTCTTGCCCATTTTGCTGCGCCATCATAGGATGTTCAAAGTGAATCCAGGTGGTGCAGAAGGCGTGAGGCTCCTCGCAAGCGACGAGCGCGCTTGATCTTGTTCATCACTTTCAATCGATCCAGGTAAATCAATGCTGGAAACCTCTCACCATTTCACTCAATGTTTTCCCTGTACTGGCCGCCGGGTTCGCACGCGGCAGCTTTGCCAGGATTGCCGAACCGTTTCTGCTACGGATGCTGCACAAAGCCTGTCCTTGCAAACCGAGTAGTTCGTGCTCGCGCGCGCTGTGCTGCGACCCCGATGTCCGTATGAGCTCGAATTCAGACACCACGACACGTCCAACAGCTGCCTGTGCGGAAGACTGGGCACAAAACTGGCTGCGCCGCCCCCCTGTCCCCATCTCTGAACTAACAGAAAAATGAGTATTACATAGGCTTTCCATGGCTTTACCAGACTCCGAAGCCGGTTCGAGTTGCAATTTCTAGTGTCGCCGGCCTTGTCCAAAGCAGCCGACCAGTCGGGATGTCCCCAAAACCCGAAAGCCCAAACCGAAGCCTCGCGTGTTTTTGTGAGCGGCTTCGGACTTGGGACTCCCTCTCGGTTCCATCGCTCCATGGGCAGTTGAACGAGAAGAAGGAGGAGGAGGACATGTCAGGACCACCGCAGCACTTCGTGGAGGCCGGGCGTCGGATCTTCTGGTCTCTGTGTTGGGGAGATTTCTTCGCAGGGAACATGACACGCACAGAAAAGGACTCGAAGTTGCTCCCCTTCAAGCCCCTGCACAGTCTGAGTTTAGCTCTTGTGTATATGTCTCCTGCATCCCGGGGCTGAGTGGCTTAAGCTTGCTGGCTCAGGACCAAGCCGCAGACAGGTCTGTTACGTGCTATGTTGTGACTGCTGCGAGGTCTCGTTCGGTTCCTGGCTGTCAGGTACGCCTGGTGAAAAGCGCGGAGGTTGTTCCGACGAGGACGGTGTAGGCCTTTTTGTTTGCACAGGGCAAACAGGCACAGGCTTGGGCCCCTTCAAAAGGGTTTCAAGACCCGGCCGACTGATCTGGGGTTTCCAGAGGGCTATTCTGCGCCGTGCGAATGTCCGAAGCCTTTGAGCCCGTGGCAGTCGGTCAAGGGGACTCCCTGTGTGGTGCGATGTGTGCTGGCTCATGAACGTTGTTGCTGCTTGCTAGCTGGACCCAAGCCGTGTCGTACCAATGACAGACAAACTTGGACAGATGGGCAAAGATCAAAGTCAGAAGCAAGCAATACTGCTTGCAACCGCAGACAAGACCAATCATGACATTTTACATAAGCTACTGAAGTCGAGGCCTAAAACTACACTGTGAAGATATGCAGGTATAATGGACTGACCCTGCCTGCCTCCTATAAGGCAGGCTCCTAGACTAGCGCTGCAACATCGAATCTGCAGACTCGCACATCCATGAATCCCTTGCTGAAAGAGCTTCTGCAGCGCCCGGAGAATCGCATTTGTGCTTTGTCGGAAAATCATGGTTTAGGGTTTGGGATTTGGGGATGAGCAGGCTCAGAGATGTTGTCGCCGTTGGTTTGGAGTTTGCCGATGGTCATGTCTGGACTTGCAGCCTTATCAATCAAGAGGCAGAGAAACAATACAGGCAGTGCGCAGGGATTATTTTCCAGGTTTTCGAAACATGAACTTGAAGATATAAGAAGATCGGATCTCAAAAGCCGAAGTTTCTAGCCACGACCCAGGTGCAGACTGCGGCGAACGTGCACCACGCTGGTGCAGCATTAACCTGGGGGTGATCATATGTGCTGAATGCATCCTGAAGGAAGCAGTTTAGTGGGGTTCCAGATTGAGGGTCGCTTCGGGTGCATGTCGCTTTTGTGCGGCCCAATACTGAAACTTTTGAATTGCTAAAACGGTTTACGGGCATCAGAGTTTTGTACTGTGAGTTGGCGATAGTTCAGGGTTTCGAGGGTTGAGTGCATGCCGGGGCTTGCCGTTGCTGCTACTACTACTACCACTACTACTACTACTACTACTACTACTACGACTACTACTACTACTGCTACTGCTACGACGACGACGACTACCACTACCCCGACTAGCGAGGCGCATGTGTTCGCTGGCGAGTCTAATCTTGACTATCGTATTGACGCGAAATCTCGCTTGTCAAGCCGTGCTTTTGTGCTACATCGGAGAGATTGTCAAGCTGCGCTGCAAGCAATAATCGAGGAACATTAAGCCGACGCCTTGTTCTCCTCCCGACCCTTCTGACAAATTGTGACCCAACATTGGCAAACCCCAAGTTTAACCTCCAACCCAGGAACGCAAATCCCGTTTGGATCCAGGCGCCGGGCTGCATCGCAAGCTTGGGACTCATATCTCTTTCGTGCAGAGCCTCAGCTTGGATGCCCTGAAGGACGAGTGGGTCTCACGGATGCACTCATATTCCAGGGGAAGGTGTATAGTATGCTTGCATGAATGCCTGCCTGCCGCCTGCCTGCCGCCTGCCTGCCGACCTACCACCCGCATACATACATACTTACATACAGACAGAGAGACAGACAGACAGACAGACAGACAGACAGACAGACAGACAGACAGTTTTCACGAGATCGGAATAAGAAACCTACAAAAAAACTGGGAGTTTCGGGCTACCAAAATACAGTTTCGCGCTTGG